TGTATGTATATTTAAGTGACTTGCAGCTATTCTGCATCTCAATCCGAGCAGTAGCACAAACAGGACATTCAGTTTAAAAAATGGCTTTATCTCAAAACTTTTGCATTTTGTATCAAACTGTTTTAGAGCAATAGTTACACAGCACAGAGCATAGCAGTAGATGGACTGCAAGATACCAGAGAAGCAACCACTAAATGGAAGTAGAAGTCAGCAGAAAAGAAGCATAGATATAGGGGGGTGGACAGGTCCTGGATCCTGAGGAGAGCAGCTCCTGCGCTCACCGTTCTCCAGGAATGCTAGAGGAGTCAGGGATTCTGCCACTTGAGCTGTGAGCAGTGGCGGTCGGAAGATTATTTGTGGATCATGATTCTGACCTTGGTGCTGAAGCCATTGAACAAGCTCTTCCAGTCCTGTGCTCCTTCTGTTCAGCCTCAGCCTTCATTTCAGACACACATGCCTTGCAAACAAAGCTCCCAGAGCCTCTGCTTTTGGGACAAGACGAGTCCCATTCTTGGCCAGGAGAGCAGAGAGGTAAGAGCAGCCAGAGACTTTGAGGTTGAAATATTTATTGGATTATTAGTTTAGAGGGTCAGTTGTTGTTGTCTGTCCATGTTTTGCTGGTCCACAAGTTTAATGAGTGCTGAGGCAAGTCATGGATGAAAACTACACCAGCCTTTTCATAGATTTTTAACCTAGTTACAAAAATAGATGCATGAATTAAACATAATCTGGAAGCTAACTGAGATTTAGATTTTCATGAGCCGTTTAGTGCAGGCATTATTTGTGAGGACAAGCGTCAGTGGGATGAGGTCTTTTGATTATGAAAATAGCCTGACTTTGATTTCCATAAACAAATTAAGTCTAGAAGATCTGTTTTTTCTCCCACTTGCTTTTCAGTCTGCTGCGGATGTATTTCTTCATCCTAATGGTACATAATGAGCAAGAGAAGTATTAGATTAACATAAATGAATTATGATTCTGCTTCACTGGCCTTTGGTAGACTAAGTTAAAGGCTGTCGGGAAACAGAAAATCATTCGAACTTTTATTTACATTAAATTCATCTTAAAGGGGTCATATGATGCTGCTAAAAAGAACATTATTTTATGTATTTGGTGTAATGAAATGTGCTTATGCGGTTTAAGGTTAAAAAAACATTATTTTTCACATACTGTACATTATTGTCAGAGGCGGACAGTAACTAAGTACATTTACTTGAGTATTGCACTTAAGTACACTTTTTGAGTATCGGTACTTTACTTGAGTATTATTTTGTCTGGGAACTTATGACTTTAACTTCACTACATTTGAAAGACAAATATTGTACTTTTCACTCCACTACATTTCTATCAAGGTCCTCAAAGTAGAAAGTCGTTAGTATGTAGCAGCTTTGAAAGTCAGTGGGTGATTTTTTTCTTCTCTAAAACTTTACTTTCTTTTTTTCAGACAGTTTATCAGTAATCACTCTTGTAGGGCTACATGAAGAGATTTCCCAGCATTTTTTGAACACTGACCAGTTGCAAATGTGATATTTATTTACAACAATTCAATAAAAAGAAGTTAATATTGTGGTATATATTAGACAAAATATTGTCTGATTTTGCTAAATTGTGTAAGCTGATCCGGCGATCGACAGCGCGAAGTTTAAGTATTTCCTCAGCGACCAGCACGGATCAGCTCTAGGCATGACGAAGCGATATCGTCCTCTTCTTTGGAAGGCCAAACAAAGTAGTTTCGCTTTCACAACGAAACACACAGCGCCTTCAGCGGCGGCAACAATACTACAGCGAGAATAAAAGTTACGCCTTCTTTCTTTGCGTGAACATTTGGGCAGCGTTATGCAAATCTTCCCACATAGTGACGTAGGTATGTGGGGGCGTGTTAGAACGAGCTGTTTTAGGTAGGTGTGGCTGACTCTTAACTTTTATAAAGAATATCTCTTTGGATTTGAGAATTTAGTCTTTGCAACTTTACAGATCTTCTTTATGCACCAAGAGGTTGTAACACTCCAAAGAGAAAGGAAAAATTGAAATCGCATCATATGACCCCTTTAAGTACATACAAACATTTGTACCTATGAGCTCTGAAGAATAGTTTAAATACTTTTATGAATAATATTTGTGTGTTGGTGTGTTTATTAGTACAATCAAGGCAGTAGATTACAAGTAAGAGTGATTAAAACTCTCTCACTGGAGCTTTGAGCAAATGACTAAACACTGGTCACCTCTTTAGGGGCCTGGAAAAAATAATGAGATGAAGTTTGCCGCCTAAGAGGGTGTTTACAAGTGTAAAGCATTAATGTTCTCCCTGCAGTGATGTGTACTCAGTGGATATCTCAGAGACTAAACACGGCTTCATTACTTCACCCACACTGAGTTACGGCCCACTCAGTTCCTGTCAGAAACATGATAATATTTCTGTCCTACAGCGAGCTTTGTAAAAGGTTTGGAAAAATGGGGAAAACGGACTAAACAGTTTCTGGTTTAACTGGCTGGTCTATGAAAATGTGAAATTTTTTTAAACTGGTGTTAACTCAGAAAATCTGCATGTTCTATATAAGTTTAATTTTCACTAAAATTTGGTTTAATTGGATTTTAGTCATAATTAATCTCATAATCTGAAAAGAGCTCTCATTGTGAAGTATATTTCTCCTCAGGTGCTGTCTCTGGGTGCAGATGTCCTTCCTGAGTATAAGCTCCAGGCTCCCCGAATCCACAAATGGACCATTTTACACTACAGCCCCTTCAAAGCAGTCTGGGACTGGGTCATCTTGCTGCTGGTCATCTATACGGCGATCTTTACACCTTATTCGGCTGCGTTCCTGCTCAGCGATGAGGAAGAGGCCGCCATGCAGCGCTGCGGCTACTCTTGCAGTCCACTCAACGTGGTGGACCTCATTGTGGATATCATGTTCATAGTGGACATTGTGATTAACTTTCGCACAACCTACGTGAACAGCAACGAAGAAGTGGTCAGTCAGCCCGGCCGAATAGCCATCCACTATTTTAAAGGCTGGTTCCTCATTGACATGGTGGCTGCCATTCCTTTCGACTTGCTCATTTATCGCTCTGTTGAAGATGTGAGTGAACTTATGGGTAATTTTGGTTTTTAAAGGAATAGTTCACATATAAATTAAGATTTGCTGAAAATGTACTCAACCGCAAGCCATCAAAGATGTAGATTAGTTGTTTCTTCATCAGAACAGATTTGGAAAAATTTAGCATTACATCACTTGCTCACCAATGGATCCTCTGCAGTGAATGGGTGCCGTCAGAATGAGAGTCCAAACAGCTGATAAAAACATAACAATAAGTGTGTTTGTTTAAAAATCCATCGAGACAATTTTTAACTTCAAACCATTGCTTCTGGCTAAAATACAAGTTTTCTATCCATAATATTGCTTTCTCATTCTGACGGCACCCATTCACTGCAGAGGATCCATTGGTGAACAAGTGATTTAATGCTAAATATCTTCCAATCTGTATTGATAAAGAAATAAACTCGTATACATCTTGCATGTCCTGAGGGTGAGTAAATTTTCAGGAAATGTTCATTTTTGGGTGAAGTATTCTTTTTATTATGCTGTTATAGCTTCTGCTAACCATCTCTTAACCTTTCAGTCCTTATTGTTTTCCTGTATTGACAGACGACGACTCTGATTGGTCTGTTGAAGACTGCTCGGCTGCTGCGATTAGTGCGTGTGGCGCGTAAACTCGATCGCTACTCCGAGTATGGAGCCGCGGTGCTCTTTCTCCTCATGTGCACCTTTGCACTAATTGCTCACTGGCTGGCCTGCATCTGGTATGCTATTGGGAATGTGGAGAGGAGCGGCCCATCTCGGATCGGTTGGCTTGATTCTTTGGGTGAACAGCTGGGGAAGCCGTATAATAAGACGAATCCTGCATCAGGACCCTCTATTAAAGATAAATATGTCACTGCCCTATACTTCACCTTCAGCAGCCTCACCAGCGTGGGATTTGGAAACGTCTCCCCAAACACCAACTCTGAGAAGATCTTCTCCATCTGTGTCATGCTTATTGGAGGTTAGTGTTTATTCTTATGCCAGCAGAATTGATTTACTTTTTTTTCTCAAATTGGGATCTGCAATTGTGTGCTACTGTATGAGGTCCACTAAAAGTAAAAAGAAAAAAAAGTGTATTATTATTTTTTCTCTGCCATCAATATATCATGTAGGTGTACATTGACATTTTTGACAGTGTACATTTTTTTTTGTCCTGTATGCTCTGCATTTATTTAATCAAAATACCATAACAAAATAGTTTTCTATTTTAATATATTTTAAATTGTAATGTCACTGTGATGTTAAAGATGAAATTTCAGCAGCCATTACTCCAGTCCATCCCGTGGGCAAAATATTCACACACACACACACACACAAAAAAACACTACGAAGATTCGGGAACCTCTCTGATTGCCGGATGGGGTCCCTGCTGGTCGTAGTACACACAAATGACAAAGTGGTTTGTTAATCAAGTTTTGTTCGTTACATTGCAAAAATCAGCCAGTACAGTCTTGAAAAATGCAAGCGACTTGTCATTATTTATAATATTGATATTCGTTCATTTCATATTTACATGATTCAGTGATATTTTCAACATTAAATAAAAAGACTGCAAATAAAACTTTGTTTTTGTTATCAGTAGCTCATATTTAGGTGATCACACAGAGTGTTATATGGCAGTATGATTCAAAGTCTTTAAAAAATGAGGGAAAACATGTCCTCCATGAATCTTTATGTACAGTTAGCTTTAACCAATACATGTGTGGGTCTGTTGACATCATCTTATGTTTTGATTATTTGGTTTTGTGAGAAAAACAGAAGCATACTGAATGGACTCAGATGTAAATGACTGTTTTGCAACAGCTCTAATAAGTAATAAAGTGATAATACTGACCCCAAACTTTTGAACAGTAGTGTATAATATCACAAATAATATAATATAATTAATATAATAATATAATATAATAATGTGAATTTTTAATTTATCGTTTATGATTTATATTCTGATATTTTCATGCACACTATTTATACTTTAGGAAGGGGGTCCCTCACAAGGAGATTATCATATTTGGGGGTCTTTGCTTTAAAAAACCTATAGGTGCGTACCAAATCGCGTACTTATGCACTATTTTATGATGTTTTTTAGTATAAATAGTGCGAGTAGTGCATTCACACTGAAAATTTCGAAAAGAAAAAGTGCATTTTAAATATCCGGATGATGCACTTAAATAACCGAAAAAACGAAGTGTGGAATGTTGGACACTTCATGCACTCAACTGTGTATAGTGCGTCATTTGGGACGCAGCATATGTCTAAACTTTCAATAAAACAACATTTCTATGGTCTGATAAAGGCCCTACTTATAAAGAATCAATAATAGTAAACTTCCCCACAAAACTTGATTAGTAGACATGCCTTTTTGGGGGCATTTTGAAGACTAAAAGACATGCTCTGAAAGAAAATGTTTGTGTGTTGTTTTCTTCACAGCGCTGATGTATGCTAGCATATTTGGAAATGTGTCAGCCATCATCCAGAGGCTGTACTCTGGCACTGCGCGTTACCACACTCAGATGTTGCGGGTTCGGGAGTTCATCCGTTTCCACCAGATCCCCAACCCACTCAGGCAAAGGCTGGAGGAGTATTTTCAGCATGCTTGGTCCTACACTAACGGCATTGACATGAATGCTGTGAGTCACAGAGCCACATACAGAACACCTGGGCATACTCTGTTTATTTTTGCATACACACATGACAGAGCACATAACGTGGTACCATTTATCACATTAACCTATGTTTTATCACATTGCAGGTGCTGAAGGGGTTCCCAGAGTGCTTACAGGCAGACATCTGTTTGCATCTGAATCGTACATTGCTACAGAACTGTAAAGCTTTCAAGGGCTCCACTAAAGGTTGCTTACGTGCTTTGGCTATGAAGTTCAAGACTACACACGCTCCACCTGGAGACACCTTGGTCCACGCTGGTGATGTCATTTCAGCTCTGTACTTCATTTCTCGTGGCTCCATTGAGATCTTAAAGGGAGATGTGGTAGTGGCCATTTTGGGTAAGTGATAAATCAAACCGATAAGAGCAAAAAAATCTGACCATCTCATTGTGATCATATGCATGTATCAGGGCATTCCATGGAGCCCTTCCCCAAAAAAAACTTTCCTAAATAAATAAATTCCTTGATATACATTCTATTACAGTGACACTATCTTTTTTCTACCCACCATTAGAATAATTTTGATATTTTCAACATTGCTTTATGCTTTAGCTCATATTTAGGTGATCACACAGTTTTATATGGCAATGTGCTTTAAAAAATTAGGGAAAAAATGTCCTCCATGAATCTCTATGTTCAGTTAGAGTAAACATCTTTATATGTAATGCACGAGCTTCAACCAATATGTATGTTGGTCTGTTGACTTCATCTAATGTTTTGATTATTTGTTTTTATTTGAAAAACAGAAGCATGCTTTTGTTTTACAACAGCTCTGATAATCTTTATGTACTATATGAATATGAATATCTTTTCATCTTTAAAGATCTTTTACGGTGACACTATCTTTTTATTTCTACCCACCATTAGAGTACTTTTAGATATGTAAACTTGAGGAGAAGAATAAAACAAATTAATTTTAAATTGATTGTGATTAATTTTATGTATTATGACTGCAGAATGACTGCACATATAAATGCAGAATGGAACAGCTAACATGTCAATTTTATTTTATTCATCCTTGGTGCATTTGAGACATTGTTTTACAACAGCTCTGATAATCTTTATGTACTATATGAATATGAATATCTTTTCATCTTTAAAGATCTTTTACGGTGACACTATCTTTTTATTTCTACCCACCATTAGAGTACTTTTAGATATGTAAACTTGAGGAGAAGAATAAAACAAATTAATTTTAAATTGATTGTGATTAATTTTATGTATTATGACTGCAGAATGACTGCACATATAAATGCAGAATGGAACAGCTAACATGTCAATTTTATTTTATTCATCCTTGGTGCATTTGAGACATTTGAAAAATGTTGAAAAAAGCTGTTGTTGTATGGCTCCATCTTGTGGACATTTTTATTATTTTTCGTGCTAGGTTTCTTTTAATGACACCATCTGTTGTTGATGCATAAAAAACATCTGTTTGGAATAACATGCTAGCATACTGCATACTACTCTTAAGCTGTGGTCACACTAGACTTTGTGCATGCAAAATTCCTTCAGACACTCAACAGTCTGTGCTTTGATAGCACTTTAATAGTAGGTGCGCTTTTGAACGTTTGTCTTTATCTTCTCAACAGACTAACACTAAAGCTGGGTCAATGAGCAGTGACACTGAAGATTCTGACCATGGCTTTCTTGACCATCACACACGAAGAGCAAAGCTGTTCTTCCAGTCCAAAAGAAACTCTATGCCACAAGGTAAGAGCAAACACTGTGTGATAGCTTCTATATTCTTTCAGATTCTTGGATTTCATTTCTACTGCAATTTCTCTTAGTAGCAGATACAGAGAAAACGGAAGAAAATCTCAATAAGACGACTTTCAGAACTCAGAATTCAAGCAAGCAGCACAAGGATAGACAAGCTGCTCATCGGGACTCAGACATTTTTGCCTCCCAATCCAGCAGTGATGAAGAGGAAGAGACCAGACGGCCCACTGCGATAGTAGACTGCTCTCAGAGCCGTATCACTAGTGTCAGCAATGCTAATAGAGACAAGAACCACAACAGCAGCAACTCTTTCAATGCGCTGTCAGGTAGGATTCTGATTAATCTCTTTCCTGTTAATACTGGCTTACTGTTTAATTTACAGTAGGTGTATCATATAAGTGTTATGTATTTGCTTGCTTACCTGAAAAAAGTGGACTAGGAAAAAAATTATGAGTAAAAAGAATTACAAAGATCTTAACATTTGTTCATTTGAATATTTATTTTCAGTTAAGAAGTTAGTTCAGCCAAAAACATTTACTCACCCTCATGTCGTTCTAAACCCATAAGACTTTCCTTCATCCTTGAAACATAAATTAAGATATTTTTTGATGTTTGAGCTTCCATTTTGCCATATTTGATGCGCTGTATGTATGTGTTGATCAATTTTTTATGTGAATAAATATCTAATTAAATCTGTTTATAAAATGATTGTGTATCTTCAGAAGACTTGGATTAAACTGCTTGATTCATGTGGATTTACGTTACGATTTTTGAAGTATTAAAGTTTTGGGTGAATGAACTTTAAATGGAGGAACCTAAAACTTTCATGGTTCATTAAAACATCTTTTAGTGTTTCGAAGATGAGGGAAAATCTAATGGATTGGGAACAACATGAGGGTGAGGAAATAATGACAGAATTTTCTTTTTTTTGGCTGAGCTAACACTTTTAAAGGATACATTCAGAAAAAAAAAGAAAATTTAGTCACCCTCATGTTGTTTCAAACCTGTATAAGCTTCTCTCTTCTGTGAAAAACTAAATTAGCCTAAAGGTTTTGAAGGTTTCAAGCTTCCGAAAGGATGCAGAAGCACCACACAAATATTGTGAAATATAAGTCATTATTCACTGATAATCTTTCAAACCATTGAGCTATTAACCATTACGGCCAGGTCATTGAGTCAGTGAGAACTCAAGAACCAGATATGATTCATGAATGAATCATTTGGGCTGGTTTTCATTGTATAACCACTTAAACTTCGGTATGGTTTTCACACAAATCTATTGTATGACTCCAGAAGACTCATGGTGCTTGATGCTCCAGTGAAATAAGTCATCAGGATATTCAGGAACAACATGAGCGTGTGTAAATGTAATGACCAAATTTTCAAGTCTTCTCTTGCAGTGAATGCACAATTTTGACATTACTTTTATCTTTAATTAGGCGCTCTTTCTGGGGTTTCTAACATCTTCAGCTTCTGGGGGGACAGTCGTGGCCATCAGTACCAGGAAGTACCCAGCCACAGCATGTCCTTACCCTCATCTTCGGTGCCCTCTAATACTGTCCTGCACAGTGTTACCCATCGTCATTGCACTGAGGTAGAGAATAGACTGGAAATGATGCAGAGACAGCTCCACCGGTGAGATCCCGCTACAGTATTGTTGCTATCTTGGCATCCTTTACTCTTTATCCATTTACCTTGAGCTGTATTTGTCGTCTTGTTTTTTTTTCAAAGATTGGAGAAGCGCATGTCAACAGACATGGGGGCCATAATGCAGTTGCTTCGGAGGCAGATGGTGCTGGTTCCACCAGCCTACAGTTCTGTGACGTCCCCTGTAGAAGCATCTCCAAATCCACCCAAACCAGGCCAGAAATTGGTCCATCCTGTCAACCCTTTAGAGACGGAAACACCAGCCATTCTCTCTGAGGTATTTCACAAACTTTAATTCTCACAATCATTAATTTTCATCGAATCTCATATGAGTCTTTAATTCATTCTCTTGGATTTTTCCTAGATACTTGACCCCCACGACTTTGCTGACAGTCCCAAAAAGTCCAGTGAAAGTCTGTCAGGTGCAATGGAGCTCCAGCTCCTGGACTCTTCCTTACAGCCCTCCTCTGAGACTCCTTCTGGGGCTTATAAGGGACGATGGCCACATAGCATGGGCCACAATGCAGCAAATGTCCCTGATTATCTTACAGCTCACACTGATCACCAACAAACAGTCATAGCTGATCGAGGTAGTTATAGTTTTTTAGATGCAGAGCCTATTGGAACTGTTTACCATCCACAATCTGGACTGAGGATAGATTTGGAGCGTTCAAGACGCCTATCATTGCCAGTGCAACATCACGTAGAGGATGATTCCTCAATCCAAAAACGACATGGCTCTAATCCTGGGTGTTAGGATTGAAACTTTTATTTAGCATCTCAGTGGAAAACAATGCATACATCCTAATGGACCACAGCAATGTTGGCAGGATGTTTTGAAGACCTTCTACTTCAGGTTCATATTAATTACCTCAGAAAGTCTAACGTAGATGCATCATTAATGTCCCTGTAGTTTGATACATTTGTGTTAGCTGGTCTAACGGTACTCGTGCTTTTTACCTGCCTCTCACTGAAAACGTTTTATTTATTTTACGAAAGTGTTCTCTCGTTATTTTGAGGTGTCAGTGTAATGATTTGTATTAGCATATCAATTTTTTTTAACAGTGTGGTTTTGTGTTGAATTGATTGTCTGTTTGGAAGTCTTGGACATATTGTAGCAATACACTGGAAAGTCCCATCAGAGTATGATTTATTAGGGTTTAAATGGTCGTTTGGAAATGTTATCTCAGGTGGAGATAAAGCTCATCTCTAGTAGCTGAAATACCTCAGAGTGAGTGATTCCAGGGAACAAATGTGAATCCTGCTGAATAACATGCCGGTAGTTTACATGACTGAAAGCATGTGTTTATATCTTTCAAGGCCATCCATTGCACAGATTTTCCCTTGAGAATATGTTATCACTCTAAATATATAATCATCAGTTTGGCCAAAGGGTCAAAATGTGTTAAATGTGATTTAGACAGTTTATGAATGAAAATCTATTTTGATCATAATCCATATCATTAGTGCAATTAGTGTTGAAATATACATATATAATACATAATATAATCAGTTAGCACTGGTTCATGCCAAACACATCCAGTAGTAAGCCATACTATAAATGTGAAAGATATTTATAGAGAATGTGGTTTATAGAAAGAGTATAGCTTGCAATGTTCATATGTATTATAACATGTAATTTATTGCAAACCTAAGTAGGAATATTTATTGTTAGCGTACTATAAATTGATTATTGTGCAGATTTTTTCTCTTATTAACTTATAATCAAATTCACACTGAATAAATTAATTCACAAGTCTTTAGAAGTTTATGAAACACGTCTCATCTGACTGAATGAACCGTCAACCTTTCCATGTGTTTCTCTGGTGCCAAAAAGAATGTTTTTCTTTTTCTAAATGTCACCACCTCTGCAGTGCTGCTGCCAGCAAACACCAATGAAATCCATTTTCAAGACTTTGATATTTATGTCAGTGGATTCAATCCATAGAGCTAGAAGGGGAAACTGAAAGTCTAACCAATTTCCACTGAAGGCCTACTGCTAAATTAAAACAGGAAGTTTGTGTGAGTCTAAAAGTAATGTATATCCTTCTGCTCATTGATACTTCTTGTTTTGCTTTCAACCTAATCTATAACTGTCCTTTGAAATATCTTTTCAGTATCAAAGAAGCATAAGAAAAGGCCCACTTAAATATTTAAAATAGAAACATATCCATACAATAAACAGTTAAACCTGGCAATATGACTTTAAGACCACTATAGCATACATAACAAGAAGGAAAATTTATTGAACTGTTTATTCAAGCATAGCTCCTAAAAGGAAACTCAGGTGTATCTTTTCAGCATCAAATAAGCATAAGAAAAGGCCCACTTAAATATTTCAAATAGAAACATATCCATACAATAAACACAGTTAAACCTGGCAATATGACTTTAAGACCACTATAGCATACATAACAAGAAGGAAAATTTATTGAACTGTTTATTCAAGCATAGCTCCTAAAAGGAAACTCAGGTTTAGTGTAATAGGAAACCAGCAGAAAGAGACACACACCCATTTACAAAAATAAAGGGAGTCTTGCACTTAGCCTATCATTGTTATATTTGTATATTTATGCTCCTTAATCATGTTCCAGAACCGGATAAACAACACAATAGAGGAATTCCGTCCTTCCACAACACTTGATGCTCTTTTACACTCGCAGCCTATGCTTGTAAAGCGTGGGTGTCATAAATGTATGAGGTTACATCCAGGGGGTTTTCATATGCATTTGCGCATAAAGGACAGGAAACTACAAGGGTATCACGTCTCATCGGACAGTCTGATGTTCCTCGATACAATGTCATCTGATCTGATGCCCAAATAGATCTATTCAGTGCCAATTCAGCGCGCTATTGCTGATGTATTGATTGGCGAATCTCCCTGCCCCTCATCAGTCATCAGCATACTCATTGTGTCCATTAGCTGTCCATCAATACTGGTGGGGAACGCATGTAAGAACCGAGAGGATGCTCAAGTCCAAGAGCAGAGGACAATTTTCCTGAATTGTGATTGGTCGAGGGGAATAAGGGGCGGGGCGTCGCCCTGCGATCACAGAGGCGGACTGTACGAGAGGGCGGATCTGACTGCACATCGGCCAACACTACATCGTACTGAATTTTAAAAACAACAACAACGGGTAAGTGCACTTTGACATTGTGATTAGCACTCACATTATACAACCTCACTATAGGAAATGCCTATGCATTAAAATAGCCTACGCGTAATGAAGACAAAACGAATCGGCGCGCACGCGTAGATTGTGATGCAGTCACTGCTTGACAGGCGTTAGTTATTGTTACATACACGCGAGATAATCATGCGATGTAAATAAAGCGTGTCCATGACTCATCGCTCTTTCGTTCCCAAACGTTCCCAACCACGTCGACCTGCCGAGATTTCTTTGTTTGGGCACTGCCGCAGCTTGGATGCTCAGGACAGGTGTCCTCCGCAGGAGCAAACCTCTACAGAAAACTACTCTAGTTACATAACTTCAGTACAGTGCCACATATTGCTTCAACATTGTGGACATTGTGGGATGATGAAATCGTGCGAGGTTCCTTATAAAGGACGTTTTGAGCTTTACACCCCATACAAACTGCAAGCGAGCGACGCGACAAACCAGAACACGTCTGTTATAATAAACGAAGCTGGTTTGATTGCAATAAGCGCGTTCTAGTTTGTCGCGTCGCATCGCATTGTTCTCATTCATACTGGGTCTGTGCATCGCGTGCTCGGCTCTCTGCAGTGCACCTCTTCAACATGCCTCATGGACATGCGTCATGCTGTAAAATGCAATTGAAAAGGAACACACGATCAGGAACCGACGCACTGAGGGTCACGTACGGATGTCTGGGACTGTGGGAGACGTTCATATGTGTTATGAAACGTAGCGATTCCCTCATGGCCTCTTTTTCTCGTTTGATATTATGAATTGTTGCATTCTAGAGGAACAGAGGAACAACACTTTGACCACACCCCCCTTAAGTCTTATTCCTTTTTCAGTTATTGCACATTATTTCTTCTTCTTTGCACTGTGACTGGCTTTGTTTGCTTTGCATACAGGTCATGAACAAATGTCAGTGGTGTTTATTCAGGTAAAGCTGGTGTGAAGGACAAGGAGGTGTCCTTCTTGAGTCTGTATTCTTGTCTGTATTTTCTTATTTTTGCATGTAAACTGGGACTAATATGTTTAAAGATCGATTCGCTTTTAAATATCAGGATTAAATATAGCAGTGATTAATGCCACAAAGGTCATTCTGCAAATGTTTTCATTTGCCTGACATCGTTGTGGGTGTGATTGCGCATTAACATGTAAATGATCTTAGGAAGCACATAAACAATACACTGGTAAATAATAATGTTCCTCTCAAACAAAAGCCTGTATAAATAATATAAAATCGCTCTCAACTATTACTGTGTATTTTAATTGATTTAAATCATTTAATTAATCATTTAAATTATTTAAATTTGCTTGGTAAACGTTAAACCTGTTCTGATGGATTATGATCATTAATCATCATATTTTTATGAGCTGCAACAGTTTAAATCTACATATTTCATAATAGCTTATTTGTAGTGGTGCTGTTATGCTTCTGATGGTAGCTGGTTTACACGGTTTCTAACTAGACCAAATTGGGGTCTAGATCGAGCTAGACCTTGACAAAGCTGGTAGACAATGTCAGACTGGTAACAACCCAGCTCCAAAAAGCAGCTTGGGCACTTTAAAATGATATTTCTTTTTTTTTTCTGTGGCAATATAGACCTTAATTTGACAGATTTTTTTTTTTAATAGAACTTGCATTTATCTCTTAACTGTCACCCAATTAAATCCTAATCTAATCATGACAAACTATATATCGTTGGAAAGGTCGAAGACTCCTAAATAGATATTTTACCACTGTTTATTTTTTCTTTCTTTTTTTCAAATTATATCATATATTATATATAGTGCCCCCGATCTACATAAATGCGTCTATGTTCGCGCAAATCATTCATGATCCAGCCTCATCTACAGAAGAAGTGAGTATAATGTTTTGTAATGAATCTTTGCAAATCGTCTTTCCTAATAATGTGCTAATTAGCAAGTTTCACGATGAATGCGGCTAAAGTAAACAGTCTCTCTGAGAGCAGCTTGGAAGAGAGGGGCGGGGTCAGCAGAGCTCATTAACATTTAAAGGAAAATGCTACAAAAACGGCTTGATCTGAAAAGAGCTGTTTTTGGCAGGGTAAAAAAGGTGTTTTTTACACTACCATTGAGAAATTTTAACCAAACTATGTTACAGACTTTTCATTAAGACCCTAAAGAATCATATCAACTTGTGGAAAATGGGCATCCTATGACCCCTTTAAGATAACATATAGAAAGAAAGAAAAAACGCATCTTAAGCATGCAGAATAACATAAGTGGACTTTGAACGATTAATTGCCGCTTTGAACGATTACGTAATTGTGGCATCCATAATTGTAATCGCGATTAGAAATTCGATTAATTGTGCAGCCCTAATATTTAGTCATAATTATTCAATATTTTTAACTTTAAAACTAAAATGACTAAAACTGAAAGCTAAATTGAAATGTAAAATGACAAAGAAACGTAGCAGAATTGCTAAAACCTAAACTAAAATAACATGAAAGCTGATCATATTAACAATAATAATATTAAAAAACATTGATAAGAAAACCAGACGAGAATTTGTTTTAAAATGTGCCCTCATGTGACTTATCAACAAAATTGAATGGGACGATATAGAAAGATTTCTGTAAGAGGTCATTTTAAGGATTATAGTAGTAAAGTTTGTTTTGTCAGATGTTTAGTTTATGTTCATAAGGTCTAATGTTACTGTACGCCAATGTGTGCTGCTGTACAGAAACAGCTGATTACAGTAAGTGTTTTGGGATGATTTTGTGACGTCTGCAGGGGATTCAGTCCGGCTGACAAATACAAGGGGGAATCACTCTACCTCTAATCCCTTCATTTTTTGGACCAGCTGGACCTCTTACCATCCATCAGGATATCAAGAGAATTACTCTTCACATCCGTCTACATACAGGGGGATGGGGAAAACAAGGAGGGGTGGAAGGAAATGCAAAGATGTGGATAAGTAATAAAAGTGCACTCTTAAAAATAAAGGTGCTTCAAAAGATTCTTCAAGCGATGCCATAGAAGAACCATTTTTGGTTCCGCAAAGAACCATTTAGTCAAAGGTTCCTTAAAGAGCCATCTAGTCAAAGGTTCTTTAAAGAACCATCTAGTCAAAGGTTCTTTAAAGAACCATCTCTTTCTTACCTTTTTATAATCTGAAGAACCTTCTTTCGCCACAAAGAACCTTTTGTGAAACAGAAAGGTTCTTCAGATGTTAAAGGTTCTTTATGGAACCATTTAGACAAAAAGGTTCTTCTATGGCATCGTGAAGCACCTTTATTTTTAAGAGTGTGAATAGGAAAGAGGAGATGGATTCTGGGTAGTATAATCACATTAATGTCTGACCAAAAGCGTTGTGAAGATTTGTTTGGCTCTTAACTCATTTGCCCCCCGCTGTCAAAGCGCACGGCGGCTTGATTTTTGATTTGTATGTTCGTCACGCAACAGTGTTGCTGCGTTTTGGACCTTTGTTGAACAGGACAGTGTGTAATTGTGTTAATCTGGGTTCTCTGAATGGATAGTGTGACAGCTAGAGAAACAATGAGACACAGTGAAACTCTTGCGATGGCAAACAAACACGTGCCTTGGGCTAGTGCACAATGACAAGCTCTCTCTCTCTCTGTACCTTTCTTTCTCTCACTATCCTTTTCTGAGTTTTCCTTCTTTATTTTCTCTCACTGACACTGTTTATTGGAATAATACATAGCTGTTTTGTGTGAACTGATCAATTTGAGCAAATCAAGAAGTTGAATTTTAGTCTAGTGGCACCTGATGTCCTAGCCTAAACAGGTTCACATGCTCGTAGTATATAATTGTGTTTTATAGAAGCATTTTCTCTCGCGTTCTGCTGTTAAAAGGGAATCATCAATTTAACCTTTTAAAGTGTGACTTGTGTGACAGCTGTACATTTGGCATTCAGCCACATCCTTCAAAATGGCTGCTGATCTTAATATGTGGTGCACAGGCAGATGATCAGATTTGTCTAGGTCTGAACATCTGGCCATATTTGTGTGTTGTAAGCCTTCATACGAGAAGTCTTTGAGTGTATGATCCCTCTGAGTGTATCCTAAATTGGTCATTGATTTGAAGATATGAATTGTTATCTATTAACCTTGTGAATGTTAGGTGTAAGGATCAAAAATAGGCCATTCACTTTTTATTGCAGGATTATCTAAGGCAAGATAGATGGAGAGTATTTATATGCCCTTTCAGCTGCATGTTCAGGCCTGCTTTGTTTTCACTGATCGCCCTCACTTTTTTTTTCTACAGGAGGATGGACTTCAGTTTACGTGATGCCTTCACAGATGGGGCACCTAAGGCGACCCAGGACAGCCTGCTGAAGAGGGATTTTGTGGCTGGGTTGGAGGCACAGACCTATGATGATAAAGTGGGCGAGACCGTTGGGAAGACAGACTACCGCCCCCTTCTGGATGGGATGGATGGCAAAAGGGAAGGTATGTGTTTTTAAATGAGATTTTTTTTCCATAGCTGAAAATTTACTCATCTTAAAGGGGTCATATGATGCGATTTCAATTTTTCCTTTCTCTTTGGAGTGTTACAAGCTCTTGGTGCATAAAGAAGATCTGTAAAGCCTCAGTGCACGCTAAGCTGGGGCTTCGGCTCACGCTAGCCCGGCATCAGCTCACTCTATCCTGGTCTCAGCGCACGCTAAGCCGGGGCTTCGGCTCACGCTAGGCCGCTGTGTTTTTCATTGTGAAAGCGCAGCACAACTTGCCTTTTCAGACCGATGAGCTTTGTAAAAATCGATGCGTTTCAAAAAGGCGGGGCATAGAGGAGAAACAATAATGTACAGTATGTGGAAAATAATGTGTTTTTTTTACTTTAAACCGCATAAACACATTTCATTACACCAAATACACAAAATAATGTTCTTTTTAGCAGTATCATATGACCCCTTTAATGTTATTCAATAACAAAATGCTTTAGTCAAAAACAAAAGGATAGGATTGTTCAAGGATATTTAATGTCCAAGCAATTTTTTTTCCATACAACAAGCTTCCAAATGGATAAAAAAAACAACATAAATGTATATAATTTGTGACATACATTTAGAATATGTTACAGAAATTTAAAACAAGTGCTCTTCTTTTGAACTTTTTATTCATCAAAGAAACAAAATGCATCACGCTTTCCACAAAAATATTAAGCAGCAAACAACATTCATGAGAATAATATTTATTTCCTTGCGCACCAAATCATCATAGAATGATTTCTGAAGTATTGTGTGACACTGAAGACTGGAGTAATGGTTGCTGAAAATTCACAGGAATAATTAATAAATTTAAATAACTAATAAATTAAACAATTAAATTATATTTTGAAATATATTTGAAAAATAAAGCAGTTAATTTAAAATTTGATCATATTTGACAATATTACAGGTTTGACTTTATTGGTGTTTTTATTTTCTTTCAAAAACCTACAAATATTATAAATAATAAATATATAACTAATATATAATAAATAATAAAAATATAATAAATAAATATAAATATAAATAATAATAAATATTATTTTCTGCTTTTCTTTTTTTCCCCTTTTTGTTTAATGCAGATATGTTGGTTATATTGTGTAGTACAATGCAACATTAGGAACAGCCTGTTCACTTTCACTTTTGTAATTTACTGTCTTCCTTTTGCATTGCACTGTAATCTGATGTATCTAATCTGAAGTAGATGCTGTTTGTGGTTGTTTATTTGTGTGTCTCTCTTCTCTGTCTGCCAAAACGTATAATGGCAAATGGCAGAAGCACATTTTATTCCTTTCCTCTAGTTTCACGTCCTGTTCAAGTTGGTTTCATGAGAAAAAAACTTATTGATATTCCAAGGTATTTTGGGTTGCTTTTATGCTTGTTTGTCTAGGCCATACGCCTGATCATGGTTTGCAACATCTCAGATCTAAGAAAAAAAAGATTTTTTTTTTCGCCTCAACAGCCGCCTCAAACCACTCCCGAGTGAACTCTAGGTTCGGTTAAGCGAACACCATCTTTCCTCTTGGGTTACAACCATCACCACTATTTATTTTCAAAAGTGTTTATTATTTGCTGGGGCACAGTTTTAGAGTTTAATCACCTGGTATGCATGATAGCGCTAATAGTGTTTAGGCTACTGAATAAATATGCCAAATTTGGTATTGTTTAACACTGGTGCTTTTTGTAAAGTTAGTAATTGGTAAAACATCTAGAAACAAACAATTTTAGTAAAGGTCACATAAAGACTATGAAATAGCTGGAGGTAGATGAACTTTGATGAAGATTTTGAGCCTTCGGTTTTTGGGATTGGGCCATCCTTTTATATTTCTCTTTGCATTAATCATATGAAAGTGTTTGTTTTGTTTTCTACATGTAAGAGAATATGCAGAAATGTTGACCTTTACAGTATGATATTGGGCTTGTGCTTGACAGAATGCTTAGACATCAATACAGCAGGATGCCCTCTCAACAACAGCAAGGTATGTGTATATGTGTGCAGCAGTGAGCATGTATGTGGATGCTGAGATCAGCAGATCTGTCTACAGCAGATGTGACAGATACTTTTAATAGCTTCAGCCAAAGATCCAAACGAGTGTGATTAAATTTCCGCCTCCATTAAGAGAGAGAAATGGCCATTTATTTGATGTTACTGTAAAGACTTGCACTCTCAGTATGATAAGGCTGTAGCATCTCATAGTTAGCATATAGCAAAAGCCTGTGTTTCTGTAGTAGCTTCTCATCAGATCATTGCTGGAACTGAAATTTTAGTGAGAAATAATTACTAAGCATAAGTTGTCAGTATTGATAAAACATCACGGCCAGCTAGCAGGCAAGGGAAATATATTTCCTGCCACACTTTTTCCACTGAAAAGGTTGCTTGAGATAATAAAGCTTGTTTATTGACAAAGTAATAAAGATTTATGGAAATTGTAAGTTGTCTGTTGACAAGCGCTTGGAGGCTCATTTCTAAAGAACAAAGTACAAGTTATGATGATTAATCAATAACTATGCTGGCTATTAAAGGCTGTGCAGCCACTTCGAATCATAATAAAATTACACTTACAGTCGTATATATTTTCATTAATGTCGTTTTTAATATCATAGAATTTTTATATCGACTTACATCTAATAAACTGAAGAAATTATTGCATTCTGGCAAATTACTCATTATTTGCAATGCTCTTGTCCGATTCTGCTCTCATATGACTTTCCTTTTCAAACAGTTGCATGTCGCAGACATCAAGGGTATTCAACTGGGCTAGAAATTATTATTTTTCATTGTGCAGTATAACATGCAATAAAATACCCAGTTTATTATTTTTCATATACTGCTATAATACATTTTACATGGGTTACCATTTTGTTTTATTGTTCATTTTAGTTGTGAGATCTGTGGGAAGGGTGATGTAGAAAAACTCACAAAATCTAAAAAAACATATAAGCAATCTCGTATCTCTAGATTAAATATGATTTATCTTTAATATGAAATAATAAATCTAGTCTTTGGATATACAAAAATAGCAACCTTGGTTGTTATTTATGTCTAGTTGTTATTGAAATACTGCAAAAGCTTGTGTCAGCTGAGTAGTTGGTATATAAACATGAATTACTAAATAAAGGAAAATAATTAAAATTACATTAAGTAGATTCAAGTAGAATTATTTTGTGTATCATGCTTTAAAAGAATACTCCACCCAAAAATGGTGGAAAATTGGTCATCATTTACTCACCCTCATGTGAATTCTAACCTGTATGACTTTCTTTCTTCTCTGGAACACAAAAGAGGATATTTTGAGAAATGTCTCAGTGGTTTTTGTCCATACAGTGGGAGTCAGTGGGGTCCAATGATGTTTGGTTCCCGGCGTTCTTCAAAATGTCTTCTACTTCATTAATTAGTTGATTAGTTTTAACAGTATTTCTGTAAGTTTGTGTAGTTTATCGATCATGTTTGTGTGTTTTTGCATAACCATATTGCATGTTAGAGACTCTCTGGTTCTTTGTCTGTGCTGCTGGTATACTCACAGTACAGCACTGGTTTATGACGTTATATAACTGATGCTGTGCTGAATAGGATGTCTGCTGCTCCCCCCCTAAACTGCAAAAGGAGGCTCTCTACCACAGCATGACTTGGCAGTCTGCACCTCAAGTGCCTCATGTCTGGGACAAAAGTGACTATTTTTAGTCCCTCTTCCATTTTTTTGGCTTTTAACTGAAGCTTATTTTCAGGTTCATATGCTTCTCTTTGTGTGGCCATTGCTCTGCTGGGGTTTATTTTAGTACACCATCAGCATCCTGGAGCAGAAAGAAGATTGAAAACATGCTACTTGAGGCATAAACGCACAAATCACCCATTAAGGTCGACCCCTCTCTACCTTATCAACATTCAACACAAAGGCCTGGCCAACAGATTCCCATTGCATCCTTGCTAATATAGCAGACACAGCGTGACTCACAGTGACATGTACACCGATCCTGTTCCACAAAGAGGATAATTGCATGGAGCTGGAACAGCCCAGTCCTGTGGGAGTGCGATCATTAATCCAGGGCTGGTATCTGAGCTTATGCTGGTTCAGTGCTGGCTCCTCGTGTCAGTCAGTTTTGATGCTGACAGAGTGCTTTGCCTAGGGAACGTAGAGCAGCCTCAGCTGGTTGTATAACTACGGTAACAGGCCTGCAGTCCCAGCCTGTCCCATCGTCTTAGCATCACTCATCTCCAGTTGCCCTTCTCATAACGGCGAAATATTGGAATGGATGGGAGCAGGCTTATTTTCAGGGATGCCCCTCCCCACTGCCTTTGACAGGGGACACATTCAATTAGACAGTCAATCAGATTTCATGAAAGTTACATTTACAGGACCTAATAAATGCCATTAAATCACTAAAGTTACTAATGAAGAGGATGTGTTCATCTTGCTGTTAAATATTACACTCCTCTTATTCACAGATGGGTCATTCTCAGGTGGGTGTTGTGAATTGTGTCTCAGCAGTTCAGCATTTCATACATAAAATTGATATACAGAATTATTATTAAACAATTTATGGGTGTATTTTTGTGTCATTCAAAAATAAATGAAAAAATTAAATGTACTTAATATTATAAATTTCAACAGATCATCATTATTTAGTGAATTAACTCGCTAAAAAAGCATTTACAGCATTTCCTGCATAAATCCTTTGCTCTTGAGTGTTGATGCACTTATACAGAGTCAGTTTGTCTGTTTTCTCTTTTCTCAGGGTCTGGGTTCTTGTCTGCAGTCCAGACTGGAGGGCAACGTCAGGACCCTCAGGGAGAAATCCATCCCAGCCCACCTGGACAATATGTCTATAAGAATGACTTTCAATCAGGTGGGATCATTGAGTATGTCAGGCTTGCTTAAGAGAACTGAATTAAATAGTTCACCAAAAAAATCTAATTATGAGCTAGACATTAGTCCAAGTCTTTCTAATTCCAGGCCCAACATCAATGAATGAAAAGCCTGTCCAATTAGGAAACCAGCAGATGGGATCTACTGTGAAGGACAACAGCATGGACCCTTTTCTGGGTAACCACTACAATGTTTGATCTTGCTGACTGACTTGTTGTGGGTTCGATTCAGTTAATTTCCTCAGGCTCTGTTAAGTTTTAATGCGCTATCGCTCTGCTGCTCTGTGCTTCAGGGTTCTCTCAGCCTGGAATGAATATTGGTATGAATATGAATGTTGGCATGGCCCCTTTCCAGAGCTCCAAACCCCCCAGCATGGGTGAACCTCAGAAGACCTCACCCTTGTTTGCCAATGAACCACCCAAAGCATCCCAGATAACTGCTAATCTGAGTGATACAAGCCCTCGTAACAGCCTGGAAAATTCTGCAGGTAAAGTCTATCGCCACTTAAGGCAGCTCACTGCAGTCTAGAACAGGTAAGACAGACTTTAAACACAGATATTAAGATACTGATTGATTATTATGTCACAGAATGTTGTATGATCTCAGCTCTCATATCATTCCACTCTGTCCGGTCAAGGCATGGATGCCTCATCAATATCTTGTCACAAGATAATTGCTTCATACTTTTCATGGTCTTCAAGATATCACTTATTATGAGTATGATTTTATTGATGTGATAAGCAATAGGTTGTTAACTCTGGTATTGAATGCTATGAGTATATGTAACATGAAAAATAGGGGTAGTGAAGAATTAATTAGTGACTAGACTAAACATCCTACACTGTGAAATGTCCGTTCCAAATCATTTTACATGATGGATCATAATAGTCAATGATCGTTATTCACAGTTTTTCTTTGACTAGCCTGTGTGCACTATGTCTTCAAGTGTGCATTATGGTGGAAGGCATGTTAAAGATTTATCTTCGACCACTCTGTAATATTACTTTTTGAGTGTGATGGCTGTGAAACTTAGAAGAGAAATGTGTCTTCTGGCCCAGAGCCAGTTTAGAAAGCCTTTTCACATTTTAGACCTCATATCTGAAATATAGATGTTACTGCCACTGGCACTTCCTCCAAGTGACTGTTTATAACCCTTTGATCAATGAAGAGCACTGAGTCTAGTGAATGAAGAAAGGCATGTAAAATAGAAAATCATATGATGTAAAACAGAAAAACAGTTTGGTTGGGTCTAGAAATTAATTTAGGTTTCATCTTATTATGCTTTGATGGCTGGACTATAGCGCTGGTAAACATGATCAAAGTTCAATTAGCAGTAGGTTTTGTTTCCCTCTAAATGTAATGTGTTTTGATGTTGTCAACCATTGTGTTAAGTGTTTGTCTTGTCATGGATTTTGGTTTATTTCAGTGACCTTTATTTGCCCTCAGTGCTGAGATATATACTGGGTATTCCTTGTCATGTGACTCTTCTCTGTGGCTTTTCTTTGAGTCAGTCTCTCTGTGACTTGCCTCTATTGTTATCCGTGCCTGTCCATGAGTTCATTTGCCCATTTGCACTTTCACTTGATGTGCTCTCAAGTGAGCACATCGTAGTCTCAGCACATTTTCTCTCAGCCACTGCTGAAACTATTACACCCATTTAAGTGCCCTCTGAAGCAAGTATGAGCATGATATCCTCAGATCTGTTATCTTACATTAAGGGGATAGTTCACCCAAAAATTCTGTCATTAATTACTCACCCTCATGTCGTTCCAAACCCGTAAGACCTTCGTTCATCTTCGGAACACGATTAAAGATATTTTTTATGAAATCCAATAGCTTTCTGACCCTGCATAGTCAGCAACGCAACTACCACATTCAAGGCCCAGAAAGGTAGTAAGGACATCAATAAAATTGTCCATGTGACATCAGTGGTTCAACCTTAATTTTATGAAGCTATGGGAATACTTTTTGTGTGCAAAGAAAACAAAAATAATTACTTTATTCAACAATTTCTTCTCTTCTCTCAGTCTTTGACATGCGTTCATGACAGTACCACACAGTACCCTTTCTGGGCCTTGAACGTGGTAGTTGCGTTGCTGTCTATGCAGGGTCAGCAAGCTCTCGGATTTCATCAAAAATATCTTAAATTGTGTTTTGAAGATGAACGAAGGTCTTACAGGTTTGGAACGACATGAGGGTGAGAAATTAATGACAGAATTTTCAATTTTGGGTAAACTACCTATTTAGCAAAGATCAGTGATAGGCCTTTATCAGGATGTAACATAATCCAAAGAATTGAAAAGCCAAATTTGTTTTCTATAGAGCTGTTCAGTTTATACGGCTAACTTTGAAGGGTAATTTGCCACTGCAGAATTTCCACTGGGTTTTCTTTTGTTCTGCAACGTAAATTACAAACAGTCATACCTCAGACTAGAATTTTGAAGCCTAAGTTAAATACTTAAATTGAAAATCTGTTGTTAAATAGGAAATACAACGTCCAATTAGTCAAGCGTATTTACACATGCTTGTTGTAGTCTCCTTAAGTAACTAGCTGGCAACAGGAGTACACAGTGCAAGTTTTGGCAGTCAGGGAAGTTACTGCCCTTGAACACCTGATAATTTTACAGAAGCCATAATTCATGACATGTCTGTTTAACCTAGCAAGTTCTGAAGAAAAACAGATCAATTTTTGTGCAATTTTTAGCATTTGAAATCATGGAGTAAAATGAGGACTGCTTACGCTTCATAAACACAGAGTTTTGGTTTGGCACCAATAGCCTTGTGGGCAGCACACCAACATATAGCGCAATTGCGCTTTGGGCGTCCTGAGTTTGAATCTCGGCTCGTGGACCTTTCCTGATCCCATGCCCACCTCTCTCTTTCCCACTTCGCTTCCTGTCAACCAACTGTCCTATCACAATAAAAAGGCAAAAAAAAAAAAAGTCTACCATTGAAATATTTCACACAATGCAAGCTGGAGAATCAGCAATTTCCTCACAATGGGTAGCATGTATATTTAGTTTGTTGTGAAAGCCTCCTCAAGTAACATTAATCTGAGATGAGAGATCATTTAATCATTCAAAAAAGAAAAAAAACCTCTGAAAACCCATTGGAAATTTCCAAGGGAACCCATGGCTAATACTAATTCTCTTCTGAGATTAGATAAGACTGGATGATGCTATTCATTGTGAATTACTGGATAGTGTCTGTCTTCATATCATCTTCTGGTGTAACGCACCACATGATGCAAGTGATCAGTGGTTCATAGGTAGCTGATCTAATGCCTCTTTGGACTCTTAATAGCTGTTATGAGCTGGAGATGCGCAAATTTTGTTGTCCGATGATTTGTATGGTAGTCAGTGACACTTCCTCTTCCTCTCTGTACACAAAGAAGTTTGGGGAAGCCCTTGGACAGGTGAGGAAATGCTCTCTACGGAGCAGTCCCATGCTTCCAACAAGGCAGAACAGAGTCGCACTGATGCCTTGGGTTCCCAGAGTCCAGATGCAGCATCCGGTGAGGAAAAGTCCATCGATGAAGGAACCGAAAAGCAGCAGAAGCGAAAAAAGAAGAAACGCAAGAACAGGGAAGAAATGTATGACCTTCTGGACAGTCTTGGTTCCCCTGACTCAGAAGAGACTCCTTCCGAAAGCTCCAACCACGGCTGCCCCTCACCTCCTAATAGGGACGAAGAGATGTGGGAAAGCGAGATCCAAGAAAGAGGGGGAGGACGCATCAAGGCCAAGAAGAGTAAAAGCAGGATGAAGCTACCAGAAGAATGGAGTGCTCCTCCAACTGTAATGGACATGGACTTTAGCAGCCCTAATTTGGGTGATTCAAAACCCCCACCCAGTGCTAGCATAGATCAGGGAAGTGCACAGCCCTCACTCACACCTGAACCTCTGCATCTCACAGACACCCAAGCATGCAGACCCCAACCGCCCGGGCAAGCAAACACCTCCTTATTCGTGAATCCCATAGATAACTCAACTCTCAAGATTAACAGTGATATGTTAGATAAGGATAAATCAACTAAAGACGATATCAATAAGTCTAACCTAGAGTTGCCTGGTATTCACCCTTCAGATCAGTTACCCAAGGACCCAAATGATCCTGACCAGAAGTCAACCCTTGCCCTTAGTCCAACTCAGACTGTTATGTTCCTTGACTCCGTGCTGCAGGCACAGACCCCAGATGCAAGCCCCCCATCCCAGAGCACCCCCGTGAAAACCCCCATCCCTCACAGCTCTGCCCCAGAGGCTGCTCCTGATCTGACCACTGGCCCACTGTCCGTCGGCACAGACATCCCTGCCTGTCAGAGTGCACCAGCTGTTAGTCACTCTTCCCCAAAAATTCCCCCCAGCACTGCAGTGAACTTAAACCCCGAGGCTACGCCTTTCATCTCTTCACAAGCAGAGCAGCAGGAGCCCCCGTCAGCACAGCCCCCCCTACTGGAAGGTTGGTGATAATGAAGACTGTATGGAGATGATTTACATAATGCATGGCTCAATGAAGTGGGCCCTCCTCTGCTTAGCTATCTCTGTAGCAGAAAATACTGTAGCAAGGCACTAAGTACTCCATGTTTTTCTTTTTCTTTCTTTCTTTCTTTCTTTCTTTCTTTCTTTCCTTGTGTCAGTCCTCTATAGCTTGGACCTTTGCTGCATGTAATCCATTCTTATAATAAAGTTGTTTAACATTTCAGTGCAGTCATAACACACTGATCGCTATGCATCACGACTGGCAGCTGACTAACTGTTATTCTTTAGTTTACCATCCCCTGGATTTTCCGATTTTTCTTGGTCACAGCATCCCTCAAAATGCACATGTCTTGTAGATGTGTGTCAACTAGTCAACTGTCTATGTGGGATTGTACATTTTCTAATCATTCTGTGGGTGAACAGCTTTCTGTATGTCACTCCTTGCCATCTTATGCTATATGACTCTTTATTCTGCTTTAGTCTTGTTCAAAACTGTCAATCCAATGTTTATGAGATTAAGAGGTCTGTCTGCTAATTCACCTGCTACACATAGATTTTGAAATTATTGTCTTTAGACGTGTTTAACCTTTTATTTTTAGCAGAAAAAAAGTTTTGTAAGTATGAGTTAATGATGTTCTTTTCTTCTTCTTTTCATGTTAATCACTGTTTGAACAATACTGGACATCAAACAGGTAAGAAAATATCTCAGTATCTCACTGTGAATTGTGGGTACAGCCCACTGTATATATACATACATTATTAACTTTATAAGTTGAAGCGTTCTTGATATATTTGGAGAGTAGGGATGCACAATACATCAGTACTTCATCAGTTATTTAATTAAGCTCTTTTGCTTATGTGACGAGTGGGGGCGGGGCCGAGAGCCATGGGAACGGAGCGAGGCCGGTGGAGTAATTGATAATGAGCGACACCTGCACCACTCACTGGTCTCGAGTCCCACGGAGGAGCTCCGGAAGGATAAAAGGAGGAGTGACGACAGTGAAAGAGGAGAGAGGACCCACGGCTCTCGGCCTCGCCCCCACTCGTCACAGCTATTTTTATATGGTGTTTATATATTTAGATTATCTTTGCTATCGTCTAATTCTCACTTACAGTTCTTTTAAAAAAACTGAAATAATTGTTAAATGTAATCTTTATCAAATCTCAAAATGAATATCCATTTTTGGTCACACTTTATTTTAAGGTCCAATACTCGCTATTAACAAACCATTAACTATGACTTTTGCCTCAATAATCTCCTAATTTTCTGCTTCTTAATAGTTAGTAATGTAGTTGTTAAGTTTAGGTAATGGGTAGGATTAGGAATGTAGAATATGGTCTTGCAAAATATGTGCTTTATAATTACTAATAAAAAGCCAATACGTAAAAGGCATACTAATAAGCAACTAGTTAATAGTGAGAATTGGTCCCTATACTGAAGTTTTACCCCATTTTCTTACTTTACATTAGGTTGAGAAGCTTGAATTCACTTGTATTATTTAAAAAGATTGATTTTACATTTTAGTGTTTTATGTTTCATTTAAATACTATAGCATGTCAGTGTCAGCCATTTATCTGTTTTTAGCCATAACATCCATCCCTATTGGAAATCAATCAAACAAATAATTGAGAACAGACAAGTTTTTTCCAAGTTTAGTTTAATCCCTTAATCATCTAAACTTAATGTTGTCTGTAAGGCTGCATTGTATAATGTTTACTTTTCAAAGCCTCTATGTGAGTGTTACCCAGTATTCTCACTAATCTCTGATACTGAATATGATTGATTTAGATTGATTTAGTTTGCTTTGGTTTTAAAAAGCTTAAAGGATTAGTTCACTTCCAGAATAAGAAATTCCTAATAATTTACTCACCCCCATGTCATCCAAGATGTTCATGTCTTTCTTTCTTCAGTCAAAAAGAAGTTAAGGTATTTGAGGAAAACATTCCAGGATTTTTTTTTCCATATGGTGGACTTCAATGGGGACCAATGGGTTGAAGTTTGAATGCAGCTTCAAAGGGCTCTACACGATCCCAGCCGAGGAATAAGTGTCTTATCTAGCGAAACAATCAGTCATTTTCTAAAAAAATTAAAATGTATATACTTTTTAACCACAAATGCTCGTCTTGCACTAGCTCTGTGATGCGCATCCTTGACTTAACGCATTATGTAGTCACGTTGGAAAGGTCACACGTGGTTAGTTCTTTGCCTGTGTATTTCGGTTCAGAAAGGTAGGGTAGTGTAAGAAACTCCATTTAACCCTTTCGCACGCGAGTTTAAAATATTCTAGCTGAGCCCCGAGCGTGAGGTTTTTTTTTAGGCGACCGTTATTTTAGAATGTATTGCCTGTTTCCATGGCGGCGCGTCATGCTTGTCATGTGACAGAACGCAGCCACAATAGCTCTGTATGACACATGATCGCTTTTATTTAGTTTTTCCTGTTTTATTCAAAATATTCACAAACATGCTCACTATATTATGAAATATCTGATATTCCGATTCTGAAATATGTGCAAGTAAATCTATTTGGTAACGTTAGTTTAAACACGACCAGCCAAGACTGATCACACCGGTGTGATCGTACGCGTTAACGGGTTAATTTTCATATCCAACTTCAAAATCGTAAGACATCATTGTTTTACCTTTTTTTGTAAAGTTCATTTGACTTTCTTTGCATGTTCGCTTTGTAAACACTGGGTTGGTGCTTCCGCCTATACATCACACGTGACCTTTCCTACATAATGTGTGAAGTCGAGCTAGTGCAAGACGAGCATTTGTGGTTAGAAAGTATATACATTTTTATTTTTTTAGAAAACGGCGATCATTTTGCTAGATAAGACACTTATTCCTCGCCTGAGATCGTGTAGAGCCCTTTGCAGCTGCATTGAAACTGCAATTTGGACCTTCAACCCGTTGGTCCCCATTGAAGTCCACTATATGGAGAAAAATCCTGGAATGTTTTCCTCAAAAACCTTAATTTCTTCTTGACTGAAGAAAGAAAGGCATGAACATCTTGAATGACATGGGGGTGAGTAAATTATCAGGTGAACTAATCCTTTAAAGAACTTAATGTGAAAGGAAATTTAAATTTACTAGATTGTTTATCTAATCAAATTAACAGTTGATTCAAGAGCAGAATTGTTAGGATTAGTTATTTTTAGTTGGTGATATTTATAGGTTGAATTCATACTCCCTATAGTATTTCTGTGGCTTACTCTGTCTTTCATCTCCCTCTCTCTCTCACACAAACGCACACACATCTCCTCCTATCTCTCCCATCCTCTTGCAGCAGCTCATGTAAAATTGATGGCTGGTCCATTCGCCATTATGTAAGACTCATATAGTTGTTCTTTTTATAGCGAGTGATTAGGGTGTGTTCAGAGGCGTTTGAGAGGTGCTGCACTCCGGCAGGGATATTGAGTACTGGGCAGTAGCTTTGGATTAAAAGCTAACACAGAGATCCCTGATGACGTCTTGAATGACGTTGTGTTTCAGCTGTTCAGGTTTATTCATCCAGCTATTCATCTAGTTTTTAAACACAACACTTGGTCTTCTCTGGATTTCAGTCTTTTAAATGCAGAAATAGGAGATGCCCTTCTTGGCCCTTTATTCCCTTCCTTTACTCGCATCAGCTTTCTCGTCCTTTCTTGCCCTTGCTCACTCACTTCCTCTCCCTCCCCTCGGGTGGTTCCAACCACACAGGACCCTAATATCAGCAGCTGCATTGACGGGGAGACTGTTGCCATGGATATGGGAGGCGGTTTCCTTGGTGATGCAGCGAATAGGACCTGCCAAAGAACAAGCTAGGGTGTAACTGTAGGATAAGTTCCAGAAATAGAAACTCTGTGACATAGCTTCCCGATTACTCAATGAACGTGCATCTTCTACCCCACGCTAATTGTGTTAAATGCACTTCTAATGCTGTGTTTTCATTACTGAGAAGAACATTGTGATATTTTAATTATTGTGAACAGATTTCAAAATATAGAGGTTGGCACTGGCATATAACCGCTCCATTTATTCAAAAGCACTGTTTATAGTCATCATGGAACTCTAAAATTAAATTGATTGTAATGTAGGTAAATTTTTATATGATTAATCATATAATAACATTTAATCATAACCAATAACGTTTTGTATTAAAAAATGGCAGTACTGTGTGTCTAAATGCCACATAATGGCAACAAAAAGGATTTTATTTACAAACATATAGAAAACATGTAGGTACAATTTTAGACATTGAATCTTCATTGAATTTCTTAATGCATTTTCATCTTAGTTTCAATTTCACAAATTAAAATTTGGTTACACTTTATTTTAAGGTGTCCTTGTTACACATATTACATGTACTTACTATTATAATAACAATAAATGATGCATAATTACATGCAAGTAACCCTAACCATCTAGTAAATACATGTAGTTAATTAATATTACTCAGTACTTAAGTGTATAATTACACTGTAACAAAGACACCTTAAAATAAAGTGTAACCAAAATTTTATTTGTGGAGTTGAAACTAACTAAGACGAAAATGCACTAAGAGATGCAATGAAGTGATAGGAAGTTTCAATATCCTCTGTATATTGAGCTAAAGGATGCGATGCAATGTGTTCTTAGAGGAATGTAAACAGTAAAATTCATCTGACATGTCCTTATGCAACAAAACCCATTCACAAGATCCTGGCCCATTACAGCAATGAGACAGTCAGAGAGAAAAGACTTCTTTTATATCTGTCACTGGCCTGGAAGGCCACTGCAGCTGATGCATTGTAGTGTGTGTGTGTGTGTGTGTGTGTGTGTGTGTGTGTGTGTGTGTGTGTGTGTGTGTGTGTGTGTGTGTGTGTGTGTGTGTGTGTGTGTGTGTGTGTGTGTGTGTGTGTGTGTGTGTGTGTGTGTGTGTGTGTGTGTGTGTGTGTGTGTGTGTGTGTGTGTGTGTGTGTGTGTGTGTGTGTGTGTGTGTGTGTGTGTGTGTGTGTGTG